TATTTCATCTCTTATCTCCAGGTCTCCAGTCTCCAGAAAGACAATTTCTGCCTAACACAGACCATAGCCATCACCACATAGTTTGATGTTGTATCTGGGTTACAGGACAAGATTGCCTTTTCACTATGAAATGGAAGTCTCGTGGCCTTTTTGGGTTAGCACTGTCTTGAGGGTCCGAGAATGTCGATGGTGATGGTAGCTGAATTTTGTCTCTGGAGAAGGGATTTAGTAGAAAAATCTCTTCCGTAGGGTCATCCACTATAACCAGCCAACCTTCCGATGATCTGCAACACTAGTTTTGGTGTATTTCTGGGAAATAAATACCATAAGTCTTGCCAGAATACAGACTAAAGAAATTGCGGATTTTCGTATAAAAATTTACCGGGAAGCATTAGAAGTGGAACTTGACGGGGAATACACGAACGATTCTCAACTGCAACAGATCGCCAGGACGTGTAAACAGATGCAAAGTTAATATGATTGGAAACACGAACCAATCTAAATACAATCTCCTCCAACAGATCCTTTGGAAATTCAGCAGACCAGTCGATGTTGTCGGAACCATTGTCGACATTGTCGCAACATAGAAATAATTTGGTTGCTTTTGCACTCGGGGCTGGATTGTACATGTGCTTGGGTTTGGAAAATTTGTGGAGGGTATTGGCTTTCTAATTCTCTTGCACATTTACTCTTGATGGTTGTGCCTCAATAAAATGTCTCATAACTCTAAACAAACCAATGCATAACCATTAAATAAAAAACTTTAATTTTTCATAATATAACTTTTCACTTGGTTTTATTTTAGCAAACTACAGGGGAATCCGTGCGATGTACGGGAAAATCTAAAAGATTTATTAATTTTATTTATTATTAAATTAATAATCAAAATTTGTTGTTAATTAACTAAAAGTATTCAAAGTTATTGTTAATATCTAAAATTTTAATAATTGTATTTTCATTTAATGTTGATTTACAAAAAATAATTATTGTAAATTTAATATGAACAAATATTTTTTAATAAATTTAGTTTTATTAATAATTTATAGTAATTTTAGTAATTGTTATTATTTTCACTACTAATTAACAATTATATAGGAATGACAACGGGGTGGGGCACCCCATCCTTGTCCCTACCCCATAGTCAACACTCTACCCCATCCCCACCCCGTCCCTAGTATCAGGCGGGTTCAAGGCAAGGTAACTACTCCTCAATGCGAGGCGAGTTAAGGGGCAAGGCACCCCACTCCTCATCAAGGATGGGTAATCCTCGAATTTCCCCACTCCATCCCCAGTATTGGGCGAGTTCAAGTAGAGGTGTAAATCGGGTCGTGCTGGGCCAAGCCTTGGGTCAGGCTAGGCCACAGACCCAGCCAAGTTATGAAAGGTCCATTTAAAAAAAAATGAAAAATATGTTTAAATTTCTATTTCATATGATTTTTAATGTATACAATTAAACCTATTCATGGGCCAGGTAGCCTGATGGCCCAGCCCGACCTAACCCATTATTTTTTAGGCTTGGACAAAATTTTAGTCTCATGGGCTCGAGCTTGGGCTTTCTCAAATAAGCCTGACCCGATACTATTATATATAAAAAAATACTTATGTTATATATAATAAATATAATATATATATGCTTCTTAAATTATTAATAAATATCAATTTACTATTAGAAAATATAAATTAGTTTATTAATTTATTAATTTATTACTAAATTAATATAATATTAGTTTATAAAAGTATATTGAAAATAAGACATTTTGTGTACAAATCTGGCATTGGGTTTGGGCTTGAGCTTTGGGCTTTATATAAGGGTTGGGCTCGGGCTCAAGATCTAGGCCCGATGGTCGGGTCGGGCTCAAACTTGAGCTTGCACATTTTCTGTTAATAAAGAGGCCCGTGCTAATTATAAAACTATGATTTTTTACAAATTAAAAGTTTTATTTAATTCTAGTCTAGTATAAAAAAAAGTATAACATTTCTATATATATTAATATAAATTTTTTTATTTAAATATTATATAATAATATTTACCATATATGTATATAACTTCCAAGTGGAGCTTATTAGGGATTGTTTAGCTTGGGCCCTATCCAGGGGCAAGCAAAAAAAACCGAAAAAACGAAGCTACTGAAACCGAACTGAAAAATCGATTAACTGAACCAGTCGGTTTGGTGTTTTTAAAAAACTAAAGTTACCGGTTTGGTCTCGGTTAACCAATATAGAAAACTGGCGGTTAACCGAACCGACCGGTATACATATTTTATATATATGTATGAATATTATATATATTTTATATATGCATTATATATATAAATATATATTATAATATATGATATATTATTTATTATTTAAAATATAATATTTTATATATCTATAATTTTTTATTATATATTTATATTCATTTTTATAATATATATTGTAAAATTTTAAAAACCAAAAAACCGACGAACAAAATCGACGGTTAACCGAATTAGTCAACTGGTTAACCAATTGGTTTCGGTTAGGTTTCAGTTACCGGTTTTCCAAAATCGGTAGTACCGGTTCGGTTACAAAAAAAAGGCCCACGGTTTTGTTAACCAAACCATGAGCACCCCTAGCCCTATCCGCTAAAGCCATCAATGGACTCCAAAAGTTTTCTACCCAATTAGACTTCGGATGTGATTATCCTTGATAATGTGTGGGCATGGTGCATATCTCAACTAGACCTAACTCAAAAGAAAATAGTTGCTTGAGCCTACAAAATTATAGATCTAATCGGGTTAGGTTAACTTATAAACGATTTGTTATTTTTTATTATTTATTATTGAAATACTATTAGCTATTAAAATATTGTAATTATTAAATTATTATGCTTATTTAAAATACAATAATTTCTAGAAATTATCATATTTTCAAAAATATTGCTAATTTCTTGGCTAAAACTTTTTGTTAACTAAATGTAATTTTCTACTATTTATAGCTCAAATTATAATTACTTTAATTACAGTTTAAAAATAATTATTGTTAATTATATTACTATTAATAATTAAAATACATTATTTTTTTCATTATTATATAGTATTTTTGCAATAAAATACAATTAATTTAATTTTTAATTATTTTTAGTATTTTAATTAAGCTTTAGGTTTTTCAGAGTTTTTGGATTTTTAATTAATTTTCTTTCAGTAAAAATAAATTAAATAACTAAATAAATACCATAGTTAATAAAAATATAGGTAATTTTCAATAATTTTTGGCTTGGGTATTTTTTTAATAATTTTTGGTATTTTTTAATAATAACATACTATCAATTGTATTTTTTAATTATTTTCAGTAAATACCCTCATGAATATAAAATTTTGTTAATTTTCAATGTTTTTAATTATTTTTAGTATTTTAATTACGTTTAGGTTTTTCAAAATTTTTCAGATTTTTAATTAATTGTTGGTATTTTAAAACTATCAATTTATATTTTTTATTAGCGTTTATTATGGTCTTAACCATGGTTTTCAAAATTGGACCGGACCGGAAAAATCGGGAATCGGTCACCTGATCGGTTCCATTTTTCCCCAAAACCGTTGATTTTGGTCAACAAATTGCTGAATCGGTCGGTTAACCGTTCAAACCATTCGAACGGTTTTGACCGTTTTTCAATTTTTAATTTTTTAATTTTTTTGTTAGAATGGGCCAGTCATTCGGGTCGAACGGTCGGACCGTTCGAACTGGTAATCAGACCCCTGACCGGTTCGTTTTAAAAACCATGGTCTTAACTCATAAGTTATCTAATAATATTATTAAAACTATCAATTAATACTTTTATATTTAAATTTCTTATTTTTATTAGAGTTTATTAAGTTGGATTTTTAAGTCGAATTGAAACATATTTTTAATATTTACTAAGTTTTATTAATATTTATTTGGGTAAATTACAAAGACCCCCCTGTACTTTGTTTTGCAACAAAGACCCCCTGTACTATGATCGTGAGCATGGTTTTCAAAACCGGACCGGACCGAATGGTCAGACCGGAAAAACCGATTCTGTTTTTCCCCAAAACTGTTGATTTTGGTCAGCAAACCGCTGAATCGCCCGGTTAACCATTCAAATTATTTGAATGGTTTTGACTGTTTTTCAATTTTTAAAATTTTTCTTTTAAATTTTTTTTTTGTCAGAACGGGCCAACCATTCAGGTCAAATGATCAGACCGTTCAAACCGGTAACCAGACCCCTGACTGGTTCGGTTTTAAAAACCATGATCATGAGACAAAGACCCCCTTCCATTAGCTTTCCATTGAAATATAGAATTATTTTTTGTGTTTTTAATAAATATTTTAAAGTTATTATATAATTTTATTAGAATACTTAAATAATTTATAATTTTTTAATCTAAACTTTGTTTAGATAGATATAGATAAAAAGTAGGGGAGAGATAAATAAGAATTAAAAATAATTTAGGAGATAAACTCTCTACTAAATTAGAAATAATTTTGAAGATAAATAAAAGTTAGAGATAATTTAAAAGATATTTAGGAATTAGAGATAACTTAAAAGATATTTAGGAATTAGAGATGATTTAGAAGATAAATTTGGATATACAAACAACCACAATAGTCGCACAAAAGCTTGTTATTTGATGCTTTTTATGGGGTCAATGATAATTTAGTGGGCCTTTAGAATCTGGTTTGACATGGAATGTACCAAAAAAACTTGGGAGTTGGAGTCTAGACTTGATGGGAAATAGTCCGAAAAAGAAACCAATTCAAGAGTCCAATTCCGGGTAGGCTGGTACAACGTACGCAGGCGGAGAGTAATTAATGGATAAGAAATCCTAATCCTAATTGCCGTTTAAATCTTTTGTTTCTCTGTTCTACTACGACTAGCATTCTAGGCCTAGCGTTAGATGCTTTGAAACTAAAAAAAAAAAAAAATATATATATATATATATATATATAGCTACCTCGGAGCTATCCGTGTTCCAAAAATTTGATAATTTCAAATTATAATTCAATAGTTCGAGCGAAGTATGGCTTCTGGTTCGAAAGCGACCAACTTACTTGTATGTTGCGACAGTGTCGACAATGGCTCCGACAACATCGACTGGTCTAAATTTCCAAAGGATCTGTTGGAGGAGATTGTATTTAGATTGGTTCGTCTTTCCGATCATATTAACTTTGCATCTGTTTGCACGTCCTGGCGATCTGTTGCAGTTGAGAATCGTTCGCGTATTCCCCGTCAAATTCCACTTGTGATAATTCCCGGTAAATTTAATAAGGAAACCCGCGCTTTCTTTAGTCTATATTCTGGCAAGACTTATGGTGCTCATCTCCCAGAACTACACCGAAACTGGTGTTGCGGATCATCAGAAGGTTGGCTGGTTATAGAGGATGATTATAGGGAAGAGATTTTTCTACTAAATCCCTTCTCCAGAGCCAAAATTCAGCTACCATCACTGTCGACATTCTCGGACCCTCAAGACAGTGCTGACCCAGAAAGGCTACGAAAGTTCCAATTCGTAATGAAGGCAATCTTGTCTTCTAACCCAGATACAACATCAAACTATGTGGTGATGGCTATTATGGTCTGTGAGGAGGAGAATTTGTCTTTCTGGAGACCTGGAAATAAGAGATGGAAGACGTTAACTACCCGATGGGATCCATACGAAGATATTATATATCATAATGGATTGTTTTATGCTCTCAGTAATCAGGGACCCGTGGTAACCGTTGATATTGACTCTGATCCCATATCAGTTATAGAAATTGCACCTAGAGTAGCAGAACCAAGATTGGTTGACAAGTTGTATTTGGTGGAGTCGTTGGGGGATCTGATACTGGTCTTAAGGATCGACTGTGAGTGGCAGAAGGTAGATGGCAGTCTACTCCAGCCCTACAAAACAGTGGAATTCCAAGGATACAAATTGGATAGGATGAATCGAAGGTGGATGAAGATAAAGAGCATAGGCGATCAAATGCTATTTCTGAGTGACAATTGCTCAATGTCATTGTCTAGTCGTTACTTTCCTGAATGCAGCAGAGGTGATTCCATCTACTTTAATGACGACTATTCTCAAAGATACTTCCACAATACGTTCGGTTGTCGCGACACGGTTGTATTCGACCTGGCAGATAAGTCGTTTTATAAGGGCCCTCCCTTTTGTAGTAATACTATAATTTGGGTTACGCCTCAACCTTGGTAGAAAGGTAGTATTGGAAATTAATTAATTAATAGACGTTTTATATTTGAAAAGAAGTTAGATTTTGGTTAGAGGATGATAGTATGATATGAATTCTAATTTGTTTGATTTTTTATTGATTAAACAACATAAAGAAGAGGTTGTTTCTTTTATTTATTTACTTAATTGTTTGTTGTAGTGGTGGTTAATTAAGGTTAATATATATGAATGCACGGTAAAAGTTCGTTTGATTCTCTTTTAGTGATCCAATTCCAATTAATCTATAGCATTAATTACGTAGAATCTAACACTAATCCTATTTAATAGGATGATCTCTATGTCTCTAATTTTCATATCATTTATTTGATTTCGAAGAGAGAAAGGAATTAATTCACTCAAATAAAAGATAACATTTGTTTGATCACCGACTTAATTATTAGCTTATGTCACTTAGAACACGTCAGTAGTCGGTTTTAATTCACCTTCACCATCATTTTAATTAATAGGCCAATTAGTCATCGATCATTCCTAAGAACCCCCTTGGGTAGCAGCTCCTTGCATCATGGCATTTAGCATACCTAATCACTCTTCTCATCATTTTGCATTAGAGCAAAAGATCATTTAGTCTTCATTCGTTTAATAAGTTTCATTAAGGACTCAGTTTTATCATTATCTCATTTGTTTTCTTGAATCGATAATTTATCAAGTCTTGTCTTATGTCCATCCTTCCATCCCTCATTCTTTCATTGGCCTTTTCTATTTTTGTTTGTTAATGTCTCCCTTGGATTCATATGACTTACATTACATCATATATGTTGCATTTGAGTGATAGCAGCCTACCATGAATGCATTTAACGCCACAGCATATTGAAATTCCTTCATTTGCATTAGTTGGGTGTTAACCATTCGTTCATTAAAGTTTTTTAAGTATTGCAATTAAATATTAGGCAGCACAAGTAAGGTTACATTTTCACTACCTAAGCAGCAGATCATTCATTAAAACCGTAAGTCCCTTTTGATTCAACTTTCCTAATTCTCTTACTTTGGGTTTTAGTTTGGGCAAATTTCTTAAACTACCCTTATGGTTTAGCTATTTGACTAATTCTATTCTTTAAATTTTCAATATAAAAATCCAACTGATAAAAAAAAAAATTCAAAATGAAGAGGAAGCTAATCGCAGCTCCAACAATGATGAGACTCTAAACCCAGGTGGAGATATGATCCGACGAGCTATCTCTTGATCGGAAGCAAATGATGAGCTTCACTCCATTGAATTATTTTTCTCTTGGCTGATGATTGATGTGGATAGAGTTGCTCTAATGGGTATCTTTGGCGTGCCAAAAGAATTCTGATTTCTGAAAGGTGAAAACTTTAGGTTATGTTTGGTTTGAAGGAAAAAGTAGGAAAAGGGAGAGAAAGACAGAGAAATTAATACAAGGGTTGTTTAAGTTCAGACAATTGGAAACTCATTATATTTGATTTTGGAAACTTTAATACTTGTCTATTCAATTTGTTTAGTGCCAAGAAAGCTTTGTGATGATATATGTAGGAAAAGAGAGAACAACGTGGATTAGAGGGACAAATGTAAAGACCTGATGTAGCACTAGGTGGGGTCTCTTTTGATTTTGTTATAAAAGGTCAAGGCATGTTGCTTCAATACCCAAATAAAGTATTGCAACATTGAAAACAATGGTTTGTGAAATAACAAATTTAACTCAAACCAAATAATATTGGACCAAGTTAAACCATTCATTGGCAATTCAATCTCATTGTATCACATTGCACCACAAGACTCTAATGAAGGAATGGGTTTCTAACCTCTGGAAAAGAACACAAATGAACAATAGAAACCATTCATTTAACTGAGGCATGGTAAATTACATTATCCTTGAATCAAAAATTTCCCCTTTTGGTATTTGACAGATGCAAAAGTTTTGGGTGTATCTACTCTAGGATTCAACAAACACAAAGCTTTCTAGATAGACCTACAATTTGATATGTCAAGGTATATACTGACTTAGAATACTGCTAGGACTAATACTTAAACATGTTCAAAAATGAAGAAAAGCTTTTTTTTTCTCCTAGGACTAGGACTAATACTTGATAACCAAAATCTAAATGTCATGAACAAACTAAAGAACATCCCAATTCCTTACATGTAGAAAATCAGGATTATGGACTTGGTGGAAATAATCAACACTCATTTACCAACCTACCAATCTAAGTTACTTTAATTTAATTTGACTTGCAAAAATAACATTAAACTCCGGCCCTTTTTCAATAACTTTCAGCTATGCGCGCATACAATGCTTTGGGTCATTGCTGTCCTCCTCCCCCAAACCTCCACCTCCTAAATCCCAAAACACTCTATTGCGAGTCCGGATCTCCTGTTTATAAGAATTTTGTTCACGTCTATCCATATAATATCACAATTATACATGGAGAACATCTCATCCTCCTATATAGTATTATGTATAGGGAAATATACTTAATACACAGAGATAGTGTATTATGGGCAAACATAGGCAAAGTTCTTATAAGTAGAAAATCCAGATTCTTCCATTGCAACCATAAATTGAACACTAAAAACAATTCGCCTTTGAAGAACTTGATCCCTGTAGTGTTATTTTTTGTTATGTTGTATTTTGCTTTGCCGCTTGTAGCCTTTGCAATAGACCATTAATCTCCAAGTTTTTTATCCTATTAACCCTAAAATACTCTGCACAATTGACTAATGATTTGAGGGCTGCTTTGTTCAACTTTCGTACTTGAGCTCCCTCATTCTTTTAATTTTTTCACATCTTTTTCCATTTTTAAAATCCACCCTGTCATTAGTTATTTCATACATTGCTTATGGTTTTAAAATTGAAGTCCATAAGATTCACTTGATACATTCGGTTTTTTGTTATCGTATAGTTTTTTTTCTTAATGCTTATAAGGGTATTAATAAATCAATAATAAATACTATGATATTAATTAATAAATACTAATAACATAATAATCATAAAGTAGTAATAGAATATTAATATGATATTATTACAATAATGATCACATAAAATATTGATAAACTAAAAAACTGAAAAAAAAAACAGTTGAATCCGATTTCAACTCCAAATTAACTAAACAACCAAGGATGAGAATCCGACTTCGATTCCCGTCTGAACCAAACAAGCATTGGGAATAGATGATTCCAATTCTAATTTAAAGGGATTTCAATTTCAATTCTAATTCTGATTCCGATTTCAATCCTAACCGTGATTAGATAGGTAGGATACATCAGTCTATTAGTATATGAATAGAATGTAAGGGTCCATTTGGTTCGAGGGAATACGAATCTAGAATCAGAATTGGAATGATTCATTCCCATTCTGGATGTTTGGTCAAACGGAATAGGGCCCCATATGGGGGAATGCCCATTCCCAACCCCACCCCAAGGAATGCCATTCCCATTCCGGTTTATGCTTTTTTTTATTATCTTTTTGACAAAAATACCCCCACCGTTTTGGACCCTAATCAACCAGAGGAAGAAGTGCCCATTCTTATTCGGTTCTTCCCCTCGTCCTCCTTCCAAATCAGTCAATCCAGGATACTCGTCGTCGTCGAACTGCCCTCCGATGAGGTAAGATCACCACCGACCCATTTCTTTTTCGGTTCTTCCCCTCCTCCTTCTTCTTCTAAATCAACCGCACATTCTTTGATTCGGGATCTGGGATCTTCTCCGATGCAGGATCTTCTTCTTCTTCCCTGCTTCCTCTTCGTCTCCTTCTTTCTTTTTCTTTTTTCTTTTAACTGACTACAATATGATTTTAATTTTTGCAGAACCACCCATGCTCTAATTCGGGATTGATCTATTTCTTCACTGTTGTCATTAACGAGTTCTTCAAATCAGTCAATCAAGGTTTTGCTCTTCAAACCAAGCTCTATTTTACAACTTAGAAATCAGTTCAGTAGATACTCAAACCAGATTGGATAATCGATCATACTCGTTAGGTAAACAGATAGACCTCGTTAGGTACTATCATTGAGATTGTAGGAATGGGTGCAATGTGATGAAATCTTTTTGCGATTTATGTTGCGCCATTGTATTCTTTTTTTCTTCATTGGTTATTATGAAAAGTTTAATTTGAAGCTACTCTTTGTATGTATGTATATATATACTTTGTTGAGATTTCAAGCTCACGTCTTTACAGCCCGTTGCAACTATATATAGTTTTGTTCATGTCAAGATCTGATATTCTCAATGCATAGCTGTATAAGAAGAAACTGTGAGAACCAATTTTGTGAAATAATGGATTAAATTTGACTCTGGGTACATCCAGGATGGATAAGCAGAACTGTTGTGACAAAGTAATGAAAACCAAGATGAACTTCTAAACTAGAACCTTAAATTTCTGAAGCATATAAGAAAAGTAGCAACTTTTTCCAATATTTCACAATATAGGGTAGTTATTTTCTTTTACGGTCTAAAATCTAAATTTTATTATATGATGATATAGAGGTTATATACCATTTTTATTTTCTTTTTACAAACTAAACTTTATTAAAATAATTAGAAATCTTTCTTGTGTCATCCTTTATAGTTTCTTCTTTTAACCTAGATCTACTGCCATTGACGGCTAAACATGCTTATTATTAAACCAGGAATGAAAGAAAGAGGCATTCAGAGTGTTGAACAATTTGTTTTGGAAAAAACAGCACATATGGTTCAAGTCTTTAACATGAGAAAATGTATATATATTACCCATAAACAAGATAAAATTTGGATTCACATCCATGCATATAGCAATCAATTCTGTCAATCCAGTCACTCATGAACCACTATATTTTTCAATAGAAATAAGACAATTTTCATCCTGAAGGAATCAAGGGAGAAAATAGAATAGAAATTTTCTTTTTTTTTTCTTTTTTTGTCCAAACAAACAAAATCCAAGGACTATGTATTCGAAAGATGGTAAGAATGAATAAAGCAATGTTTCAATGCCCAACCCAAAAACTACCATTCAGCATGGGGGAGACAAACAATT